TAGTTCCTTCTTGGGATTACCTTGTAGGATTCTACATATGAACCCCCAAAAGGAACTAGTATGGGGCCTATGGGTACACGTATCTCCGATCGCCGATCCAGCTCTAAATCCCGAGCTTCAAGTTTGAATCTCCTGAACCCTGAGCCCTAAACCCTAATGTAGGGGCCTTAATGATTAAAATGGGGCTTTGGGGCCCGTCATGCTATAAGTATAATATGGAGCCCCCAGAATAGTGTTGGTAATTATGAAGGCCCCCGACATTATTCCAGAATCCTGATGCAGGAATTGGTGACGCGCCTTGAGAAATGGAAGAGTTGTGAGGCGTCTGCGAAGCAGGCCATCGGGAACAGAGTTTTAAGGCTCCAGTGGTTTACAGCGGATCCCAGAAAGTTGGAAGAAGGATTTAGGATGAGTCGTGCTGGGATCCTTTGACTTCACCTTGGGGGTATGAGGAGACTGATGTTCCAACTTTCTGGCTTGCACCGCGGTATTCTTCGGGCCTTTAGCGTTTAGTTGGGCTTCTTGGCTTAGGGTTTGCGAGTATAGCTTTGCCTCGAAGCTCCCACAAAATCGGCAGGTAAGGAGACCATAGTTTGGTTGCCTATACGAGAGCCCTGCAGCCCTCAGCAGACATCTTGAGCTGCACGGCCTTCAGTTGCCATTGTATTTCTTCGCGAGAAGATTCTGAAGTTTCGGGCCAAATGTAAAGTTTAGGGCTGTTCGGGTGTGGGGCTTCAGGGTCTAGACTACTCTAGGTGTAGGGCTCTGGTTTAGTGTTCAGGGCTTTCGGGGTATAAGGTTTTGTTCAATTCGTGGTTGTGGTTCAAAGCCTAAACCCCAAACCCTAAACCCTAAACCCCTAAACCCCTAAACGCTTCAGGGTGATTCTGCTCCTAAGTCGACGACGATGTCTGGCCCGTTATTATTTGCTCCTCCTTCGTTGTTCTTGCTGTGACTCCGATGACGAGGATCACGGCCAAGATGACATTAGTGATGATGAGCCCAGAACCCTAAGCCCTCATTACGGTTCTTGGGGTACATTACGCTATAATTACAGTAATAATAATCACGATGATTACTATAATGATAACCCTACAGTATAATACTAATAATAACAATATGTAATAGTTATACTAGTCACCCGCAAACTACTATAGGCGATCATTATAAGGCCCCTAGATTTTACCACACAAACTGAACCCGGAGCCTGGAGCCAACTCCCGGATTGCAGGCTATGGCTGCTCAGGGCCCAAAGCCTGGAGCTTAGTGGGTTTAGGGGTGACTTTGGGGTAATATAGAGTTTAGGGGTTTAGGGGTGATTTTGGGGCAATATAGAGTTTAGGGGTTTAGGGGTTCACGGTTTAGGGTTTTAGGGGTTCAGGGTTTAGGGTTTACGGATGGCTTTAGGGTAATATAGGGGCCTTAAAAAAATTACGTACCTATACTACGGTTGACGATATAATCCTGCATTACCCGCAATAAGGAATATACCATAATTACCCTTGCAGGGTTTATACTATCAACAGTATTATTATTATTATTTTGTTTTGGGGGGGGGGCTTACTATAATTACAGTATCATATACCCCAAGGCCCCCTTCTAATTATGAAGGCCCCTATGTTAGGGTGGGGGTTCAGTGTCAATGTTAGGGTTTTACGGTTTCGGGTTGGAGTTGGATCCTTGCCGCTATGTGCTTAGCAGCACACACGGTGATGTGGCTCTTTTCAAGACTCAAACCCTGTTGCAAGTTGCAAGACTTCAAGCACGAACTAGGGGTGTTGACTGTTTTGTAGGGTCTTATATCGGAGCCTTCATAATTAGAATAGGGTTCTTATAACTACCCGTGAACCTCCAAGTAAGCAATACGCCGGAGCCGCCCGAGCCCTTTGACGAGGCAGGATCCTTCTCTCAACGAGGCTGGGTGCTGAGCTTTTGCCTTTCTTCTCACTTCAGTACTTGAAGGATTCTGGGACTTAGTAAGTAGGGTTATGGTTAAGGTATTTGTACTTACAATATGTACTTATAACCCCAGTTAGGGAACTTATCACCTTACTTACTAAGTCCCATGGTCCTCCAAGTAGAGTCATATATCCCTAACCCCCTCAGCCCTAAACCCCAAACCCCTAAACCCTAAACCCTAGATCAGAAGATTAGCAGGCGTCCTTCTAGCAAGGATCCTGCAACTTGGGGGAGAAGCCTTGTCAAACAGGGTTTTGAGCGTAAAGAACCCTGAAAGACTTTGAGGTTCATGGATTATAGGTGGGGTAATTATAATAATTACAACCCACATTAGGAGACTTGTAACCCTACTTATAACTACCCATGAACCTCCAAGTACCCCTTACTAGGTTGAAACTCTTCAAGCCTTCAGAACCCCATGTGCTTACCATCCCTGGCCCTCAAATCCCCAAGACCCCTGCAGAAGACTCATAGAACCCATATCGAGCCATTATGGAACCCTTAAAAGAACCTTAAAGGAACCCCTTTAAAGAACCTTAAAAAAAAAACCTTAAAGAACCCTAAAGGAGCCCTTTAGGAGCCCTTTAAGAAGCGGTTAAGCCCAAAATAACCCCAGATGGTCACCATCCTTTAAAGAACCCTAAAGGAGCCCTTTAGGAGCCCTTTAAGAACCGGTTAAGCCCAAAATAACCCCAGGTGGTCACCATCCCTTAAAGAACCCTAAAGGAGCCCTTTAGGAGCCCTTTAAGAACCGGTTAAGCCCAAAATAACCCCAGGTGGTCACCATCCTTTAAAGAACCCTAAAGGAGCCCTTTAGGAACCCTTTGAGAACCCTTAAGCCCAAAACAACCCCAGGTGGTCACCATCCTTTAAAGAACCCTAAAGGAGCCCTTTAGGAACCCTTTGAGAACCCTTAAACCCTAAACCCCCAGGTGGTCACCATCTTGGAGCAGGCCTTTACGGCGTGGCGGGAGCTCACCCAGGCCGCCGCAGAGAAAACACCGTCGCTGAATGGCCAGAATGGCCTGGGCCCCGAAAGAAATTGCCTCCAGTAGGGTTTAGGGTGTAGGGTTTAGGGTTTATATAGGGTAGTTTGAAGGAGCTAACCCCTCCAACCTGTTGGGGCTGGCAAGGGTTTAGGGCTTTTAGGGTTGATGGTTTAGGGTCAGGGTTTACAGGCCTTTTTGGGTTTTAAGTTTGGGGTTTAGGGTTCAGGGTTTGGTGAAGGCGCAGGGCATGTATCATTTGCGCTAGTTGGTATTCTGCAATACGGTACCAACAGGGTTCTATGATAGGGTTGCTATAAGGGTTCTATAGTAGGGTTACTGCAAAGGGGATCCTTAAGGGGGATGGTTCCAGAAGGCAGGGTTCTAGGGATCATTCGGGCACTCCGGGGGAGAATTAAGAGTTGCTGGGGTCACTTCCTCCATTTAGTTCCGCCCCCTAAACCCTAAACCCTAAACCCTCCCTAAGGTTTCCGACACATCGGGTGCCAGGATCGGAGTTGCCACTAATATAGGGGCCTATATTATAGAATAGGGTTTGGGGCATATTATTCTATAATTATTATAAAGAACCACCAAAAAAGTACAGGATATTACAAATGTGATTACCTATATTATTCTGGAGTTCCTTACTATAATTGCAGTATAATGGACCCCCAAAACTCTATTCTAATGATTCAGGCCCCTATATTTCATAGCTTCACATGTACAACTACCCAGGAGCTTTGAAGTAAACCCTACACCCGGCCCAGTGGAGACCTGAGACAGTAGGTGACCACCATAGGTTCTTGGGGAATTAATTACCATAAACAAGATCAATTACATGGTCTATCATGATGCAGCAAGTTATACCCTAAACCCTAAACCCTAAACCCTCATGTCCACTCGGCTCTCTCGCAGGGGCATGCTCCAGTGTGCAGCAACAGCAGTGCAGCGTCAGTAAAGCAGGCTCAAAACATGTGGGTGGTTGTCAAAATTAGGGTCCCTGTTGGGGTACCCTAAATAATAGGTGCCGTATTATAACAAGGACCCAAAAAGGGACCATAATTTTGACAACCACCCATGTAATAAGATAACAAGTAAAGATGGAAACAACCAATGGGTAGTAGTATTCCCTAGTGTCCTTGAACATCACCACAGCACAGCATGCGCCACAACCCGACCCGAATTGCTGTAATGCCCCTATCGTATAGTTTGGGGACGTAAGGGTTGCGGGGTCGCACCCCAAAATCGTACAAAACTGTTGCAACTTCAAGCTGCAGTGGCACAGAACATCGACTTGCATAGATGTCTCAGTATAAACCCTCAACCCTAAGCCTCGAACCCTAAGACAAGAAAGGCTCCCTGCCACTTTCGCGAGATGGCTTCTTCGCTCCCCAAGTCCGAGTTTTCTGCACTTGGCACCGCCTTCGTGGAGACAGAACTAGCGCATGCGAAGAAGAAGTTCGATGAGGCACAGTCCAATCGTCAACTCGCAATATCCCGAGTGCAGCAGCATGAGGCAGACTGCCTTGCAGAGGAGCGTCACTGGATGGACATACAAAGCAGAGAGAGAAGACGAGATGAGGCTGCCCGCCGTATTCAGAAATGGTGGGTGCGTGTGGTCATGTACGGTACGAAGTCCTTTCCATTAAATGAGATCTTAGAGCATCACCGCCTGCTTCGCGCCCGGCAGTGTCTAGGGGAAAACCTCCTGGATCTGCGGCGCTGTGTGCATGATTTGCATATCGAAGAAGCTGATCGTGAAAACTCAACGGTTCGGATCCAAAGATGGTGGCGCAGAGTACTGGCCAAGAGAATCATGAAGATCATTGCCGTGTATGGCAAGGTAGCCAAAATGAGGGACATGGTGGAAGGAGCTGCTGCTAAGATACAAGCGATCGTCAGGGCCAACAGAGCTCGCCGAGAAGTTACGGAGCTACGCGAAACGCGGAGGGTGGCTGAAGAAGAGGCTGAAAGACGGCTGGAGCAGATCAAGATGCAGGCAATTGTAAGCATACAGAACACCTATCGCAAGAGTGTGGCTGTGAAGCAAGTGCAGCGACTCCGAGCCAGAATGTTTGCGGCCATGATGTCGCAAGGTGGCACAGATGTGGATATGCCGCCTCACATGAAGAGCAAGCTACAGCCTTTGTCACGCTCTTCTTGGTTGAAAGGTACAGCGAAGGCGAGTGCCAAGAAGAAGCGCGAAAAGTACAGCAGTTAAGTTCGCCGCCCCTTCCCCTCCCCAAGGTTTCACCCATGGTACCGAAAGTGCGCCATGACGACGAAAGTGGAGTGAAGGAGAGCCTTGCTAATTGAAAGGATATGTCTCCGGCTTGGGGTTGAGGGTTGTGGCTTTGCGGTGCTGTGCTTGAAGTCTTCGGGCTGTGCAAAGAAGGGAAGTCCTGTTCCCAGTAAACCCCGATCCCCGCGACCCGAAGACCAAGATAGATTCGCCTTCCGCGTGCCCCAGGAACCCTCCAAAAAGGATGTGCTTGACGATATTCGGGTGGTCGAGCTTCCGAGCGTAGTAAGTTCATGATTTTGGGTCTCTCCTTTTTAGCATAAGAAAGTAAATCGATTGCAATTATCAAGGCCACTCTAGCATGTGATTCAGGGTTTCAGGGCTGACGTTTACAGTCCGGAGAACGCGGGAAACCCGAAAAGCTGCAGGGTCCCGTGTCCTGAGACCGGTCGGGCTGATCAAGAGTTGGAGTTTACGCTTCCGGGTTAGGGTTTAGAGTGTGAATTTAGGTTGAAGGTTTAGGGATAGGGTCCGGGATTAGGATTTAAGGTTTAGGTTTAACTTGTAGTTATGGATGTCTGCTGTGTTTGTATTGTTGTATTAATTCTTTCCGTCAGTGATATACATATACATATATATATAT